TACCATGAGGTAGCTCTGAAAGTGTCTATGTCTGCAGTTTACTAAGAGATGTTATCTCTTCATCCACTTTTGTTTCTCATGACTTGGAAGTCTTTGGATTTCATCCCATGAATCTGGCTCTGCTTTTAATGCTACGCGAGCAACATAGGACAGACTTTTGGCTGGGATGCCTTTATTGCTTCTTGTGGGTTTCCTGATTGAAGCCTCTTGTGGCCTGGTTTCTTCTTTTACAGTATTTTGTCTGTATTCATTTCTATATCACTCTGTTGCTTATCTTCATGTGCGACTGATGTGGAATTTCCCTCGGTTTGAATCGTTTGTGTTAGTTCATGAAATTTTGAACATACTGAAATTTTGTTGACAATTACACTTCTACTGATGATTACCTTGTTTGTGTCCTGGTGTAGAATTCTGTGTCCCTTTTGATTTTCACTGTACCCCACAAGTACACCTTTCTTTGCACATGCATCCCATTTTGTAAATTTCTTTCTTTTGGGATGTGCACATAGGCTTCGCTTCCATAAATTTTTAGATGGTTCAAATTCATATGGAGTTTTCTCAGTTGATTTTCCCTGTAGTCAATTTTGGAGATAGCATGCAGTCATATTAACCTCCCTCCATGTGGTTGTCATATGTGCATCAAACAGCATGATTCTTCCACTACATTTCATTTTTTCTGCAACCCTGTTTTGTTCTGGGTTGTATGGTACAGTAATTTGAAATATTGTGTCATGCTTTCTGGGAATCACCTGTGTATTATCACCTATATATTCTATTCCATTGTCTGTGCGCAATACACTCAGCATTTTGCCAAATTTGTTGCTTACTTGAGCCAAATACTGTTCAAGTTTCTCTAGTACTTGACTTTTGTTGTATAACAAAAATAGTGTAGTATACCTGAGTAATCATCTATAAAAGTGAGAAAATATGTCTTCTTTTCTGGAGTAAATTTTTCCATTGAACTGCAAAGAGCTGAATGAATTACGTTTTTTTAATTAAGGTTTTTTAAATTAAGGTTTCTTAGCTCTGCTGTTACTTTGCTTTGGAAAGACTTTTCTTGTCAATGTCCCTTTAATACAGCTGGTGCATTTCATTGTTTGATCACATGGACTAATTTTTATTCCACTTGTATACTCATTCTCCATTAATTTGTTTATTATGTCAGGACTTCTGTGCCCAAGTCATCTGTACCATGTGTGAATGTACTTTGAATGTTTTTCCTCCTTGGCAGTATTAACCACTTCATTGCAGTTTAGCTGATACAGTTCATCTGTAATTTTAGCCTTAGCAAGTAAGATATACCCAAGAGTACAACAACATACAACTGTCACCTTGGAAGGTCACTACATTGCCTTGTTTTGTGAACTTCACTGACAAAAAATTTGTTTCAAGAGCAGGGATATACAGGACATTTTTCACAGCTATCTTTCAAGTGACACTCTGGGGAATAGGAGAGTAAAGAAAACTGTCTCCTATTCCTTCTGATTCTATTATTTGGCCATTAGCTGTGGTGATTTTTTCTGTTTTACTCTGGTCAAGGTGAATAAAGAAACTTCTTTAATTTGTCATGTGACTCATAGCTCCTGAATCAACATACCATGCCTGCAAAGAGGTGCATTTTTGGATTAAAAAACACATTAATTATCTGAAGAAAAATCAGTTTCTTCCTTCACACTTTTGGCCTTCTGTAGTTTAGTTTGCTTTTGCATTCCAACTTTCTGGATTCTGCAATCTGCTTTTAAATGGCCTTGTTTCTTGCACGCAAAGGGGGAGGTGGAGACCAGGGAGCTAGAAAGTAGGAGGTCTTGTGAGGAGCGAAGATTACGGGTAGGGTGGTATTTGGGTATCAGGTCGGTGAGGTAGTTTGGGGCAGCATTATGAATGGCTTTGTATGTCTGTGTTAGTAGTTTGAATTTAATGCGTTGGGCAATTGGGAGCCAGTGGAGGGAATGACAGTGGGGGGTGGCAGAAGCGGAGTGGTTGGTATGGTGGATGAGTCTGGCCGCTGAGTTCAGGATAGACTGAAGCGGGGATAGTCTGTGATGAGGTAAACGAGTGAGAAGGGAGTTGCAGTAGTCCAGACATGAGATAATAAGGGAGCAGGGGCGAACTGACAACTCATGGGGCCCCAAACAATAGGGGATCATGGGGCCCCTGTGTCCTTGCCCAAACTCAAAAAGCCTATGAAAAAGGTACCAGGGGCATCTCATGGGGCCCCCTACTGACCCCGGGCCCTAGGGCAGTGCCCGAGTTTCCAAATGGTCAGTCCGCCCCTGTAAGGGAGTGAACGAGTTGTTTAGTAGTGTCTGGGGTTAGGAACGAACGTATTTTGGAGATGTTGCAGAGGTGGAGCCTGCATGAGTTTGCCAATGATTGGACATGGGGTTGGAAGGACAGGTCTGAGTCTAGAGTGACACCTAGGACTTTGGCTTGCGGGGTGGGACTGATGGTGGCGTTGTTGGTCGTGATGGAGAGGGTGGGGGGGGGGGCACAGGCTGGGGGGAAAATCAGGAGCTTGGTTTTGGAAAGGTTCAATTTGAGGAAATGGAGTGACATCCAGTCTGATATGTCGTTCAGTAGGTGGGTGATACGGGCGGAGACTGAAGGGGTGAGGCGAGGGGTGGAGAGGAAACTTTGCATGTCATCGGCATAGAGGTGATAGTTGAAGCCATGGGAGTGTATCAGTTTGCCGAGGGAGGAGGTGTAGATGGAGAAGAGAAGGGCATAAAAAAAGAGGGGTTGTGAAAAAGAAATTAACAGAAAAAGTGGTTACATCATGGACAGAATGCGATACTCAGAATAATTCCCAAAAATGATGCTTTATTACACAATAATTATAGACAATAGGGTAAATACCCTGGTTCACCATCACCTCAGTATGACATAATACACGCAGACCTAAAATCACATAAAAGCAACATCAAGACCGGTCTTAATATAAATGTGCTGCATAAGCAATGACAGAAACCTGTCTAGTGCATTTGCAGCACCAACACATTGGTTACACCACCAGCAGGGGGTGTGTCAAAAAATTGTACCATCAGGTATAATACTGTACAGCGCTATGCAATAATGGCTGATAACAGGCACCATATATTAATGAAATTACCCATAACCCAATCAAGGCAATGTGGGGGAAAAAATTGGAAATGTAAAAGGGGGGGGGGGGGGGGGGGTCCGGATGCTCCTATAATAACAGGATGATAAAATGATAGAAATACAGCCCCTATGTAGGGCACGAGTGAGTGGTGAACATGTACAGATTCACAGTGGACATGCCCATATGTAAAGATGCAGAGTTATTCATGAAGGAATCACTGTTGGTACCCTTAGTGAGATAAAGATGATTAAGATGGCAGGGCCCTGCTTCACGGGGTTTCTTCACTGCGGACTATAAACCACCTTAATATAGATGATATTATGAAGCCTGCTGGGTCCTCCATCTCTTGTAATATATAATTGGTGCCTTGCACCTGGATAGTGAATCATATTGTCCCCATCCTGCAATAATTGATGACAAATGGACAGTCAATCAATATATTCTTGCTGATGTATGTGTAGAGTGGCGAATAAACGCTTTTTCATCTAGCTGTGTGACAGTTCACTCACCACCTGAGCCATAGGTGATACTTTCTTGAAGTTTCCTCTGTCTAGACTACCAGGCATGGTCCTGGAAACAGCCGCTAACATCGGGACTGTGACTTGGAGATGTTGCGGAGGTGGAGCCTGCATGAGTTTGCCAATGATTGGACATGGGGTTGGAAGGACAGGTCTGAGTCTAGAGTGAGACCTAGGACTTTGGCTTGCAGGGTGGAACTGATGGTGGCGTTGTTGGTCGTGATGGAGAGGGTGGGGGGGGGGGGGGGCAGGCTGGGGGGGAAAATCAGGAGCTTGGTTTTGGAAAGGTTCAATTTGAGGAAATGGAGTGACATCCAGTCTGATATGTCATTCAGTAGGTGGGTGATACGGGCGGAGACTGAAGGGGTGAGGCGAGGGGTGGGAGAGGAAAATTTGCATGTCGTCGGCGTAGAGGTGATAGTTGAAGCCGTGGGAGTGTATCAGTTTGCCGAGGGAGGAGGTGTAGATGGAGAAGAGAAGGGGCCCGAGGACAGAGCCTTGGGGGACAACAACAGAGAGGGGGAGAGAGAGGGAGGTGGTGTAGCGTTATAGGTAACGCTGAAGGAGCGTTGGGATAGATAGGAGGAGAGCCAGGAGAGAGCGGAGTCTCTGATGCCGAGGGAGTGTAGTTTATTAAGGAGGAGGGGATGGTCGACTGTGTCGAAGGCCGCGGAAAGGTCGAGGAGTAAGAGGACTGAGTAGTGGCCATTAGCTTTGACGGATAGCAGGTCATTAGTGATTTTGAGTAGGGCGGTTTCGGTGAAGTGTAGGGGACGGAAGCCAGACTGTAGTGGATTGAGGAGGTTGTTGTCAGTGAGGTGGGCGCTTAGGCGATTCTAGACTAAGCGCTCAAGGAGCTTGGAAGTAAATGGCAGCAGGGAGATGGGTCTAAGGTTGTTCAGGTCGGTGGGGTCCAGGGAGGGTTTTTTGAGTATGGGGGTGATGTGCGCATGCTTAAGGGGGGAGGGGAATGTGCTAGTAGAGAGGGAGAGATTAAAGATGTCGGTGAGGGAGCGTAGGATGGAGGAGGAGGGTGTGGGGACAGGGTCAAGGGGGGCAAGTGGTGAGGCGGGCTTCTGAGAAGACCTAGTGACCTCCTCAGTGGTAGCAAGGCTGAAGGAGCGGAGTGTTGGGGAGGTTATAGTGTACAGGATGTTAGGTGTGGTGGGGGGTAGGGCGGCTGCGAGGTCAGAGGAGGGGAGAGTTGATGGGGTTATAGTGGGAGGGAGGCTAGGTGGGGAGGTAGGTTGAGCATTGGCGATGTCCTTACGGATTGCATCGATCTTTTTTTGGAAGTGATTGGCAATCTCGTGGGCGGTGAGTGAGGTACTGGGTGGGGGTGGGGGGGAGAGAGAGAGTAGGGAGTTGAAAGTGGAGAAGAGCCGGCGAGGACAGGTGGAGAGGGTGTTGATGAGGGTTACGAAGTAGGCTTGTTTGGCGGCGTGGAGGGAGGAGGAGTAGGTGAGGAAGGCAGATTTGTAGAGGGAGAACGCTCAAGGGGATTTGGTTTTTCACCATAATTGTTCCAGCGTGCGACTGCGTCGTTTAAGATTTTTAGTTTGGTAGTTCTGCCAGGGTTGAAGCGCTCGGGGTCTAATGCTACGTGTGGTTATGGGTGCTAAGGAGTCTAAGGCAGCTGACAGTGAGTCGTTATACGCAGTAGTGGCCAGGTCAGGGCATGACAGTGGAAGGATACTGTCGTACAGACGGTCAGCTGCAGAGTGGAGAGGGGCCGGGTTCAGGTTGCGGAGGTTACGGCTGGTGATGGTTTGACGTTTTTGTATAAAATTGTATTCTATTCTGTATTATTTGCCTATATATTGTACACTGCACTCATTGTGGACAAAGCACTAATAATGTTTTGATTACGTTTGCATTCCTTCAAGCCCTGATTAGAAATTTGCCTTTCTATTTAACGCCCCTTGTTACCATAAAAGTACAAATGTAATAGTTATGTGATACCTATGTAATCATGTGTATAAAAAAAAGTTCAAATGTGCTGAATAAACAGAACAGGACAGTGATTTGGAAAGATGCTGAGTGTATCTTTTTGTGTCTGTTCCCTACTGCAGTAGTTATTCATTTGGAACCACTAGTCAATATGAGGATAAGAGTTGCCTATCTATAACATTTCAGTATTAACCACTTGCCCTCCTGAGGATTTACCCCCTTTTCTGACAAGGCCATTTTTTGCATTACGGCGCTGCTTTACTTTAACTGACAATTGCGCAGTCATGCAACGCTGCACCCAAATGAAATTTACGTCCTTTTTTTCTCCCACAAACAGCTTCGGTGGTATTTGATCGCCTGTGGGTTTTTTTTATTTTTTGCGATATAAAAAAAGACTGAAAATTTTGAGGGGAAAAAACAGCATTTTTGACTTTTTGCTATTAAACATGTCCAGTTAAAAAAAAAAAAATCAAATTTCATCATAAATTTAGGCCAAAATGAATTCTGCTACATGTCTTTGCTAAACAAAATCCCAATACGTGTAAATTAATTGGTTTACGTGAAAGTTATATCGTTTGCAAATGGCTGTATATAAACTGGGATTTTTTTATTTTTAATAGTGATGGTGGCGATCAGCGACTTATAGTGGGACTATGGTAGACAATCTGACACTGAGGGGAACTGACTTGGTGTCACTGACATCCCCAGTGACACCAATACAGTGATCAGTGCTAAAAAAAAGCACTGACACTGTACTAATACCACTGGGCAGGAAGGGGTTAACATATGGGGTGATCAAAGGGTTAACTGTGTGCGGTGTATGTTTTACTATGGGGTGGTGTCTGTGTGCTTCACTGTAAGCACACTGCTTTGGATGGCTGTGCTGTGCACCATCCAAAGCAGTGTGCCCAAGCTGACAGGGAGGAGAACTGTTAGTAAAACAAAACAGTTCTCCTTCCCGTTGGAGATCCTCTGTAATCACCATCCGGGACCCAGCGATTGACAGCCACAGCCACTGATGGCGGTGCGGGTAGGATAGATATTGCACACCCATGCTGCCCGTAGCAGTATTTCTGCTATAGGGCGGTCGGGAAGCTGTTAATGTCCAGAACAATAGCTTTCTAATCAGATACAGTTTATTGCTGAGATTAGCTCTTTCATACACCTTTTTTAATCCTTCCTACATTTCTTTAGCAGTTTCACACATACATATACAGTCTGTTTGATTTGATTATTAAAACAGATTGTGCTCTGAGCTTTCTGATCTCCTCTATCCACTCATCTGAAGGGTGTTCTGGCTTGACTTCATTTATACATTTCAAATCACTTCTCTTGTTAGCAGCATTTTATCTTGAATTGCCAAGACTGGTAGTTCTGGTTTGTTAGGCTTGCAAATGAACGCTTTGTTGCAGCTGTGTTACTGCCAATTTTCTTTTATTCTTTTGCAGTCTTCTTTTTGTTGCTGTATCTTGCACTTGTTTGCTGTAGAGAGTTATTACTTGGTGTCTGGGCCCATAACCTGTTAGAAATTCTGTATATAGCCCTACAGAACAGACAGTGCACAGTCCACATGTGGTTTATCTGCTGCTTCTCTGCAAACAGGAAACAGGAACTTAGAGAAAAAAGACAGAGTTTAAACATAGATGTAGCTACAAACTCATAAGCACTGTCATCTACTGGTTGAAGAATATATCTCTAGTGAATATTGATGTAGTTGTACAAAAATACATGGACACTGTATTCCAACAGTCACCCGTAGGCTTACTATGGGGCATCCACTGTCTGCTGTCTCTCCCCTGAAGCAGCAGCTGGGAGCCAATCATGTGGCCAGACTTGGGCGCCCTGATAATAGGAAAGTAGAAGCATCTTCCGAAAGGTAGTTAGAATAGGAGTAAGAAGAGCGCTGGGAGTAGCTTTAGGTTTTGATAGATATAGACTGGAACTCCACTTTAATATATGACTATCAGTACTATGTATGAATGGAAAGCTGTAGGTAGGGGAAACCCTTTTTAATAAGAACCTTTTATTTTCTCTGCTTATGCCATTTTTCGTTATTGTGGTATGTGTTTCCGCATTTCTGTGCTTCTGTTCATTCCTGCATTTTTTTTTCACAGTATGTAATTGAATCTACCTTTGTGTGAATCACAATGCTAGGTAAAAGCTGTTAAATTAGTGAGTTTTCTGAAGAATATTCTCTCAGTATGATAGGGATAGTCATAAAAGGTATGTAGGATCATACAAAAGTGTATGAGAATTTTTACTATTTTAACTATATTCTTTGTTTACAATATGTAAAAATGGAAATGCTACTTATTTTTCCATGTCAACTTTTGTAGCCTTCAATTAAGAAAAAAAATGGATCCAAAAATGTATGAGAATCAGAAATGGGTAATAATGAAAATATAACATTGGCAACAAAATTGTTAGACTTGTGACATTTGTGGCATTAAAATGTATGTGAATTCAGTGACCAATGTGCTCAAAATGTCCACTTTGTTTATTTAGGGCTGGTTCACACTATAGAAACGCAGTCCAGATGCGTTCCTGCAAGTGCTTTGACGTGTTCCAGTGCCTTTTTTATGCATTCCAGTTCATTTCCCCCCTCTCTTTTTTTCAATTTAAATAGGGACATGTGCGTTCCAGTGCGTTTTGGTGCATTCCGGTGCGTTTTACTACGTTCCAGTACAGTTCTGTGCAGAAAAAATGCAGCATGTTCTACTTTTTTTATTCTGCATCAGGAACTGCATGCACTGATGTGAACTATGACATTGACAACCATATAATCTACTTTCTGTGTGTTTTGGATGCAGAAAAAAAGCAACTGAAACACATGTAGTGTGAACTGGACCTTATTCTTCTGTCATGGATTACTCTACTATGCACTCTGTAGATTCACGCTGCAGCAACCTTGATGTTGCTTTAAAAATATCCATTTCCGTGCTTGATTCTATTATTTTACTTTTAGAAAAAGCAGTACGTTTCTACTGAGCACATTTTATTTATTTATTACAGGTACTTATATAGTGCCGTCAATTTACGCAGTGCATCACATACATATATTGTACATTCACATCAGTCCCTAACCAATACACATACTAAGGCCAATTTAGACAGGAGCCAATTAACCTACCAGCATGTGTTTGGAGTGTGGGAGGAAACCGGAGTACCCGGAAGAAACCTATGCAGTCACAGGGAGGACATGCAAACTCCAGGCAGGTGGTGCCGTGGTCGTGATTCAAACCAGTAACCCTAGTACTGCCAGGCACAAGTGCTAACCATATAGCCACTGTGCTGAGCACATACTATATATTAAATTAGTATTGCAGTGAATTAAATCATTTTTATGTGTTTTTGACATCTTACAAGCTTGCTCTTTTATAGTTTTCAGTTAACTGGCAGACTCTTACGGGCATTGTAAGAAAGAGCAGTAAAGCATAAGTACTATGTAGCCTGTGTATATAATGTGCAAATAGGACTGCCCCATGAACATTTATAATGTAAGTTTTGCATAGAAAACTTTTTAAAAACACTAACAGTCTTTGAAACACTATTTAAATCAAGCTGAAACGTACAGTATATTGCATAATCATTATAAAATTACATTCTGTAATGCCCGAAAAAAATCACTCACAGATAACACTGTTCAACAAATTTTTATTTTTTGCCAGTTTTGGAAACAAAAGGATCCATTTCTTAATGAATTTCACATTCTGAGTTCAAGTATAACAATGAAATTTGTCAATTGGCTCTAGTTTTTCTGTAAACGGAAAGTTTTCTACTATAGGCGTAATGACTACATAATGCACAATAATTATATAGATAGATGTCTTTCCACAAATATAAAGCAAGTGATATTGACTACATAACAAAGCCTAAATGGCATAATATATTGCATAGGATTACCAAGAAAAAATTATAGCCATAAGCTAAGTTGAATCATTTTAATACTTAGGATTCTCACTAGTTTTGTCTTCAGTTTGTGTCGGTTTTGCTTCTCTTGGCTTTTCTCTTGTATTCGAGGAAAGGGCTATCTCTTACAACTGCACGTGACTACACGCTTCAGGTTCTTCCTCACTTGACTCAACCACGAAGGATTCATGTGCTTTAGGAATTGGTAGCCCCTCTCCATGAGGAACTGGACGTATTGCCGATGGATATTTGGATAGTGCAGATAACTTTTTCTTCTTATTTAGCCCTTTTACAATTGGAGGCACCATACAAAAGTAACAATTACTAACATGATCTGTTGGCTCTCTCCAAATCATTGGCACAGCGAAAGGCATAGATGCCTTTTTTCCATTCAACCATTGCTCCAGTGCCGTCCCACAAGAATTGCAGCATATATGTGGTGCCCAGCTCTTGTCCTGGTCTCCTATCTTGCAGCCAAAATACAAGTTGTAGGCTTTCTTAATCATTCCTGTTATCCTCCTTTTTTGTGAAATAAAAGTTATTTCACCGCAATCGCAGATAAGCAGAAATTATCTGCTTTATTCACACAAGTTCGAGGCATTACTGAGTAGCCTATATAAGCATAAAACAAAATGTAAAGACGCTGTCGAACTACAATCAGCTACAGATACTGCAGCTTTTATGCAGTGAAGTGATGCAATTAAAGGCTAATATTGCATCATCTCAGTATACATGCAATTTTCTATTGGTCACCAGTATCAATTGCTCAATATGCAGCTGAAGTTGCATCATAATTTTGAATGGCTTACGTCATTAGATGGGTGAATATATCATGGAAACTAGAGCCAATCAACATGGGTCATTTTCGTTTT